TGTTTGAAATTCATAATAAGTACTTCTACATATTTTTATAAATTCAAAAAGAAATTGCCACTGCGATGGAAAGTCCCTTAACAGACTAAGAAGTCGGATTGGCAGAACAAAAGATAACATGTCCTAATGGAATTTTCTTAGAGATCCATCAACATTATGCGGATCGAATAGAACAGAAAATCTCTCTCTCATCTATATAAGATATTATCACAGAAGACATCTATATACAGGGTGGTCCGAACTGTATTCCGGAAACTTCGACAGCATATTCTGCACATAAAAATAAGTAAAGAGTTCAGATAAATGTATGTCCTAAAATGCTTAGTTTCAGAGATACAGGGTGTAAAAGTTTCATTTTTATTTTGATCTTTTCTAAATAATTTCTGAAGTAACATCAATATTTGGATGAAAATTGGTGTCTGGAACTTTTTTAACATGAGAAATATGATTTTGATGTCAATATGACTCCTACTAGTAGAGGGCGCCACCTACATGTATTTTGACTGTTTTGAAGCGTAATAACTTTTTGTCCGTCCCTGTATTAAAGTACCAAGTGAAAAAATATACTCTGTGCCTTTTTACGTAAAAAATATTTATTTGTAAAAATCGCTACGAGCAACCGTTCTCAAGATATTTAGAATGGAAATAGTCAACACATGTTATTATTGACGAAAAATAAACACACGTTGAGTAGATAGTTATTTCACTGAAATAATAAATTTGGAAAAATTTTATTTTTTTCAATTAATCATAAATTTTTCTTCGAAAAAATGATGATAAAACAGTTTCTGTTGAACTTTTGGCAAAAAAACATTTCAATTTTATAATTTTAGTCTAATAACTATTTAGTCAACATGTCTAATTTGTCAATGATGATTGGTATTGATAATTTCGATTGCAAATATCTCGAAAACCATTACTCGTAGCGATTTTTACCAAGAGATATTTTTTACATAAAAAACTTCTTAAATGAATATTTTTTTACTCAGTAGTTTTATACAGGTACGGACGAAAAGTTATTACTCTTTAAACCAGTTATAAAATATATAGGTAGCGCCCTCTACAAGTAGGAGTCATATGGACACCAAAATTAAATTTCTCATATCAAAAAACTCAGAGGAACCAATTTTAATCCAAATATTGACGTTTCTTCAGAAATTATTTGGAAAAAATCGAAATAAAAATGAAATTTCTACACCCTGTATTTCCGAAACTAAGCATTTCAGGACATACGAACTTCTTTCCTTATATTTATCTGCAGAATATGCTGCCGAAGTTTCCGGAATACAATTCAGACCACCCTGTATATTGGCCTAACCAAATCGATGTCCTTACATTAGAGTTCTGGCAAAGATGGTGATACACCGCAAGGGTTAGTCAGTCCACTTCTACAGAGCCCCGCATATAGAAGTAAGGGAGTGCCCCAAGGTTGACACCAGTAGAGGTTAGTTCCTAGCCACTCATCTCTTTGAGCTGGTCCCGCCATCATAGGATTTAGGTTTTTGGTGAGGTTGCCTCCTCTTGGTTCGGGCGGTTAAGCCAAGATCCCCACACCCTCTGCCCGTGATACATGACCACAGACAGTAGAGATAGAGACAGAGAACAGGATTTTATTGTTTTAATTTTAATTCTATTTTTAATTAACCCGATTTTTTTAGTTAAGTGTGATACTCCTAATTAAGAAATTAGTAGTTGTTAATCGCAATATTCATTTTGGAACCTCAAAAGGTCTTTAAATCCGTAGTAAAAAATCCAGACCCGTATTTAGAGAAGAAATCTGATGATGACAGTTGTAAAGGCGAAACATCGGTTTGAAAATCTCATAACATCATCATGTAGAACAAAAAATGAGGGTGTGAAATTTATTTTGTTATATCTATTCAAATAAAGTCATAAAAATTTAAATAAAATTGGGAATATTAAAGTTTTTCCAAAAATTTCTGGAATTATTCGGAATTTTTAAACTTTGTAAGGTTTTTTGATCACCATCAAATTGCGCAATTTGGCCTGCAAAAAATCGTTATATATGTACTAAACTGAACTATTAAGAAATATTAAATAATGATACGGGCATTAACTTGCTATACAGTCCGGTCTTAATTGTTTTAACTTTCAGGATACAAAACAGGGTAAGGAGGACGTATTAGGCTAATTGTGATCGCTTAAAAGCGCCTTTAATTTGAACTAACGCAATGCGTTCGACTTGGATAGAAAAAAGAATCGAGCACGGCACAAATAGAAATAATTCAGAGAAAAACGGAGAATAAATAGAACGGTGACGGTCGTGGAAAGTCGGTTTCTAGAGAAAAAGCTGATTTACTTATACAGCAGTAAACAGAATAACAGTTCGATCGAATGAAAATGGAATTAGATCTGTTGGCGCTAATATAATTGGCCATTAATAGAAAATGTGCATTTTCCATATACATTTTTATCGAATAAGTTTACCACAATAGTACGGAGCAAACAACAATGATTGAAATAGATGGCAATGCGGTGTTAGATGAAGAGATTCAAAATGATTGATACTGATACCAAAAACAATTTGATCGAAAAACTTATGTCAATTATTCATTCAAGTTAATATTTTTGTATTTTTTTATCCTCGCAATCCTCACAATAGAAAATGACCTCAAATCCAAGGAGGCAACAGAGAAAGAGATTATACTGAGCTGCAATTATACAAGCAGGCAACAGAGAAAGAGAGCTATATACCCGATTATAGATCCAGGGCAACACCAGTAGGAGGTTTAAGGAGAGACCAAGTTAAACAGGTGGAGAAAATGGAGAGAGATCCTCTATCCTCCCCCTCAAGAGTGCCTCAGCCGGAAACTAGCTCCTCGACTGTGAAGATCACGGAGGGCTAAACCCCAACCGTAGAAGGGTGTATATCCTCGTAAGAGGTAGAGGTCCACTCCTGAGAATGAAAAGTTGTTGTCAGAGCTGTATGTATAAAAAAATAATTATTTTGTAGAATAACAAACGAAAATTCTATATATTCGGTATATACTTTTTGGGGGGTCGATTTCTGTTTTTTTTTATTGTCACTACACTAAAATCCGAATGGAAAATCATTTAAAAAATATTTTATCAATCAAGCGTTTCCGATGGTAATATAAACAAAAAGTTTTAATAAAATTAGTACAACTGTACGTGTCTTGTATGCTTCCCATACAATTATTATACAGTTATTCATTATGTTTATGCTCTATATTTGATTTTCCTGAAATAATTACTATTGAATAATTTTAGCGTTACTTCCTACCTTTAATTACAGACTAAAAGAAATTAAATTTAAATATATAATCGTCTGAAATAGGTAATTAGACTTTGTTTCAAATATTTTTATTTGTTAATACATAACAGCATTTTTAGCAACCGGTCATCATGGCTATTTATGATTGTAATAGGAGAAATAGAATTGAACTAATAGCAATATACATTAGCAGAGATGGGTTTAAGCCCAAAATAGAATATAAAATGGTCTATTGCTTTAATAGAACATAGTAGAGATCAACTTCTGTACTTAAAACTATCTGTGCTAGAGTATCTGCTACCAAACAATAATAATATGAGTTTTTGATGACACTGCCATTACGAAAACAATAACCATTTATTTTAATGTATTGATGAGTACCAAAAAGGCATATTTTAATACTAAAATTGCTCTAAATCGTTACTGTTTTCTTCAAAAGGAAATATCTCCAAAAAAATGAAACTATTGAGATAAATCAGAAAATCAAAATATCGAGAAAAGATGCACCTTGATGGAAAAGTAAAAAAATAAATGGTTTACTTTGTTAAACCATATCACAGAGTGATTCAAACTTTCGCCTAAATAACAACATTTTGTTTTTCTTCGTATAATAGACAAATGAGGAGTTATATTTTCAATTTAAAGATACTAAACTCAAATAATTTAGCTACACATTGCTTCAGAAATCAAAATCGGTACACTAGAACAAAATTTATTGAACTTCAAAATACCTGCAAATTTTAAGGTGTTTTTCGTGCCGGTAAGACATGGAGTAGTTCCCCCTCAAGAGGACCACAATAGATCTCAGAAAGTAGCAGTGGATCAGGCCGATAACCAGTTAGGTAGTGCCGCTTTATCCATTAGGCAAGAAAGGCAGCAAATTTTACTTGAATTTTTATTAGTTGAAGGGGACGGCAAAATAAATGGTGCCTAGGGTACCAAATCACCTTAACGCGGCCCTGCCTCTAGGAATCTAATCTAATTTAATGCTAAAAAACTTTTAATAAACTAGTTACTTAAAAAACCCTGTATACATTTCCTGTAGATACCAATACATCATGTTCATATCATGTTATTGAAGCATAAAAGTTGGAATGAAAAATATTAACTAAAATCTAAAATAGCTTATTACTTTCATTACCCATATAACAGTATAATTGTTATTTATTACCTACAAACAACCATTAGCTATCATATAATAAAATATAAATTATTAATTAACAAAGAAATAGCTCATATTATAGGAAACTTATCAATATATAAATTACATTTTTAAATCAATTTCAAAAATCAAAACCTACTATATCTAAGTAAGTCAACAAATTAAACGTACACGAAACTGCTGCATTATTTATAACAAACTTTATTGCAAAATTACGTCAATACTGGCTGCAACTAATATTTATAATAGAAAAACATAGATTGCCGTAACGGTTGTTAATAACAAAGAATTAATTACAAATGTAGGTCTCTTGCTGATAAATTGGAAAGTGTTAAATAATTATTATTAAATAATATAAAGTATTTTTCTAGTCGGACTGGTTTCGGACTAGTGCAGATACGTATGTAAATCTAGATTGAAATAGTTTCTAGTTGCCTGTAATGAATGATAACTAATAGTTACCATATATGGGTAGGGCTTAATACACTGGATATATTTAGATTTTTTTATATCTCTGTTTTTATTTTTTATCGATTTAGTTAGATTAATAGCATAATTAATAGAAGTTTTTTTCGTTTACAGATTGGCTTAACAAAAACCGGACTTTTGTAAATAGGTAAGTAGAGACATATTTAAAAATGCTTTAATTTTTTTTATATAAACCCAGGATTTAACTTAAAGGAATTTGCAATATACCTATACTTTTAATTGTTTATTTGCAAAACGGTATTTTATTGGTCATAAAATTGAGCAACTTTTCCAGAATTTAACCTTCTTCGTATATCTTGGGTTGTCGATATTCCGTGCTTACCCTCAAATTTAGGATACCCTATACATGATAAGCCTTATAATTGGGATATCGGAAACTTGGAAATCGGAAAGAGATACGAGGTCGTTTAAATAGAGGCAATGTTGCGCGATGTAATGCTAATCAAAATGCAACCTTAAAAGTTATTATAAAATTTGGAATACTGCTGAAGATTTTTGGCAAAAAATAGTAGCATAAAATGTTGGCCGTTTATATCGACTGTCATGCTTGTTGTTGAAGGGGGAAACATACCCTCTTTGAAACAGCCTCGGTTTGAAACAGACCTTAGTTGAAACAGACCCGTTTGAAACAAGGTTTGTTTGAAAGCGGGTCTGCTTAAAAGAGGGTCTGTTTCAAACAGCTCCCAACCTCCTCAATAACAACCATGACAGTAAACATAAACCATCGACATTTTATAAACTGCCACCATCTTGGTAATATTTTTTTAAGTATTTGGTTCTAGTTTTAAACTTTTAAGGTAACATTCTGATCATCATTCAATTACGCAATTTAGCCTCCATCTAATGGATCTCGTATTTCTTGTTTCTGAGATACCAATGACCTCTCTCTAATGAAAAAAAAGATAGGGAAAAAATATTTATTTCATTAAAATATTAGAATGTACAGGGTGGTCGAAATTGGTCTGTTTTAACAGAGAAAACCTATTTCCTGACTAGATAGAGCAAAACCGACATAGATGTCATCGGCTCGATTTCTGAGACACGTTTAATGGCGTAAACCACCTGTTGATATTTTCAATGCCAACTGAGATACGGGGTCTTTTTCAATTTTTTACCATTTGGAAAATTGCCCATAATTTTTGTATTTCGCGGAATAATAAAATTCTGTAAAAACGTTCTTAAGGCACTTTTTAAGCACAATCCAGTGGCGTAGTGAGTTTTTTTATACTTGCTCTTTTTGTCAGAAATGATAAAAAATATAATCATAGTTAGCTATGAACTTAAAAAAATGCTGGCTTTTAACCCTTTCCGACGATGTAAAGTTATGTGTATTTATTTCTAAGAATGAGAGAAATATTAGGGTTTTTATCTTTGTATCGAAGCGGACCTTGATTTTGTGTTGACCTAGTTGCCTAATTATTTTTTATCACAGTTTAATATTCTATATTATTATTTATCTGCATAATTAGACTTTTGAAAAGATAAATCAACATTCTATATTAGTATTACCAATTATAATAATTAAAACGCCAGGGTTACAACTGAACAAATGGAGAATTTAGAGAGAATTGGATTGGAACAAGGGGCTCCATATCTTAGCCTGCTAGGTCTTGTGATTTAACTCCTTTCGACTTTTTTATGGGGGACATTAAAATACCTTATATATTATTAAGGGAAGAACCATTGGGATGAGAGAAGAATTTCGGAAGGCTACTAGGCAAGCTTTTGAACTTACACCAGTTGTAATCGCTGTAACTCTGTGCGCAAAATATGTTTATTGTGTATTCAACAAGAGGAGGTGCTGTTTGAACATCTTTGATGATTTTTTTTAGAAAACTATATTTGTCACTCAAAAAATAATTTTTTTTAGTTTCGTTAGCTGTTTATTGTATCGATTTCAATTGTAATTACTAATACTAATATAGAATGTTAATTTACCTTTTAAAAGTCTTTTATTATGCAAGTAAACAATAATTTAGAATATTAAATTGTGATATTAGTTTTATGACAAGCAAACGATCAACACAAAATCAAGGCCTGCTTCGATATAAAGATAAAAACCTAATATTTCTCTCATTCTTAGGAATAGATACTCATAACTTTATATCGTTGGCTAGGGTTAAACGCCACCATTTTTCTAAGTTCACCAACTATGATTTCCATTTAAAAAATTATATTTTTTATTATTTCTGACAAAAAGAGCAAACATATAAAAAAAACTGACTACGCCACTGGCTTTTTATTAAAAAAGTGCCTTAAGAACGTTTTTACAGAATTTCATTATTTCGCAAAATAAAAAAGTTATGGGCAATTTTCAAAATGGTAAAAAATTCAAAAAGGCCCCCGTCTTTTAGTTGGCAGTGAAAATATGAACAGGCGGTTTACGCCATTAAACGTTTCTCAGGAATCGAGCCCATGACATCTATGTCGGTTTTGCTCTATCTAGTCAGGAAATAGGTTTTCTCTGTTAAAACAGACCAATTTCGACCACCCTGTATATGTTTATATTAGAATACCATATGATCGAAAAAAAAACGGCGTCCAGTTGGCCTGGAATTGAACATCGATGACATGCCTCATCGATGACATGCCTGACATGATATAAAATGACAGTGATCTATATTTGATAGCCATCGCTGACGCCGTTTTTTTTCTTAATTATATTGGATGTTTAAATGGTGTATGTAATGTGCTGATATTTTTCAATAATATTTAAAACAATGTATGTATTGCCAAATTATTTCATATTTGCAAATTTCATATATGGGAGATGGGAGCAAAATTGAAAAATCATATTTCAGTTGAATTTTGATTCCAATTACTGTAAATCGAGTACCTACGTAATAAATACATAATATTATGATCTAAATACTGGCATTTGTTGTAAATTAGCATTACAAGCCTACGCTTATTGAATATAATCTGGTAATATACTGCGGCGTAAACAAGTATTACAATTGCATTTTCTTGTCTGTTTTCTTAGTAAAACTGTCGTTTACTGCAATTTTCTTTGCCAAGACTATTATAAATGGTACAGATCCGGATTTTATGCATCTGTCTTCTGTGATAAAATATAATTTTGCTTGGAATTAGAGCGATGTGAGTAGATGTATAATATACTCTGTTGTACACTAGATTTTAATTTGAATTTGTATATAAATAGTTTAAATTGATAACTGAGCGTCATTTGTTTTTAATTTGCTAGATGACAGTGAAATGGAGTAAGAGTTTTTTTTTTCTAAATTTTGACAGATAATGGAGTTGTCATTTGTTCTCTATATTTATTTATTCGTTTTGATTCAAGCATTTTCTTTATATTTCAATATGGTACTTTCCCACTATTTTCCACTAATGTCTAATATAGAGGGTGTCCCATGATTCCGTGGACACAGAACTACTACGTATTTTTGGAATAAAAATAAGTTCATTGTCACACAATTACTTATACTAAAATGTATGTATGTGTGAGAGTAGTTTTCATCTTTCTCGTACGTTTTCTTGATTTTTGTGAAAATTAAATGTTAAAGTACTTAGCAAAACATCTTCTTACAGTGCCATACTCTATATAGAGCGTCGGCTACCTCTCGCATGTACTTGTGATGTGTCTCATCAGTATTTTCACAAGTACACGGGACCTACAGTTTATTGCCGAATTCGAACGGCACTATTTGAGATGCTGTACAAGGAAAATATACTCAAGGTGGTTTGCCATTGCCTTCCTTGAGGTGGCGGCTCGTTGGTTGTTGGTCGCTCTATTTAGATAAATAAATATTATTTAAAAAAATAAAGTGACCGTTCTGGCTGGGGATCGAACCCTGTACCTTCCGTTCCGCAGATAGACACACTAACGCTGGAGCTACGGCCGGCCACTAGCAAAACATAGACACCTAAAATTTAATTCAAATCGGAATAACGGTTCTTAAAATATATTAAAAATGTGTTTATTTTTTGAAAGTTTGATACCCTCTAGCGGACAAACGAAGCACTTTTGTATAAAGGTAAATTGTGTCCAACGAACTTATTTTGATTCCAAAAATACGTATAGGTGTTCTATGTCTACGGAATATTGGGACACCCTGTATTACTGATTTGCAGTGGATATCTGTTATTACGAATAAGCTCTAAGCATGCGAGACCTAATATATTTAAATATTCATCTTTTGTATAATTTTTTCCCTGAATTTTCCCCAACAAATCAAATATCATTAACCGTTCTTGAGTTTTATAACGCGACTTCTTATTTATTTAGATATAACTTAAAATGTTTTATTTAGAGAATCTAGATGACTTCTAGTTACTACAGACTAAAATAAGTTCAGTTTCTATAGAAAATTATCCGTGCTGGTTATGAAATTAGGGACAGAAGATCAACAACAATAAATAAGCGACTGGAAATTTGGTCATTTATTATCAATTACGCTCTCATCAACATAGAAAGTAATGATGATGCGTCCGTATCGATGTTTGTTTAAATTTTCTAAAATTTATGTAGGACACAAAACCGGCGGTTATCTTTTTTCTCAAATTAACTTTCCCTAATATTGCTCGGGCAAACTACGAGCGAGCCAAAGTTTATGATGCTTTTCCGTGTCGACGCTTCAACGAAGAAAAAGAAGAAGAAAAAACGAACGAAGAGTACGGAGGAAATTAACGAAAGTAATTATAATTACGGTCTATGTGAAAATACGGAGGATAATTGTGAGAAACTTGATGCGTTTAAATTTCCTCGCTGATTGAGAAGTAATAGTTCTTCTATTTTTAAATTAATTGCTACCATATTGTGATTTTACTTATAGATAATACAGGTAGCCATTAAAAGTCATCTAACAGTTTATTTTTTAATTAAATTCAAAAGATTGCATAATATTTTATTGAAACGAAAATATATTTTTGATGCAAAATGAGATTTTAAAAAAATGTTAAATTGAAAAGTTGTGGGGAAGGTTAAGATATACATTTTAAAATTATTATATAGTATACAGGGTGCTTGGAAAGGGTGTGGCGTATATAATTTAAAGTGCGAGGAAGTTTAATATCGTTATTGTTTTTGAAGATTCGAAAAATGTTTTATACAGATGTTACATAGGTAGTTTATAAAGGGGCATATACTAAAAATATTTTGTTGTA